AGAGGAGAGCCAACATACAGGAAACAGCAGGATTATAAGGAGAGTAACGGGGAAGGAAGCCGGTGTGCTGGAGGGAGTTTGTGGTTGGAGGAGAAGGTGAGAAGGGCGAGGAGGGTAGAATAGATGCAGAAATGTGCAATTGTGGTCCTGAGGGAGCCTGGAGGTCAGGTGAGCTTTGGTACGCTAATAGACACCACAGATAATCTTTGTCTCTTCAGCCAGTGAGGAGGGAACCGGCTCCTTTTGGTAGGGGGAATTAGCAGCTTCGTAAGTTCCTGAGGAATGCTGCTAACATTATCTAACGGTCAGGAATCCTCCATCGTCCAGGCGGAGCCTGGAGTTTCTGGATATCTGGACTGCCTTTTGGAATCTGGGGAAATGGAGTTTCCTTGGGACCTGGCAGATGGCATGTGTTTTCATACTTCAGTTAGAAATATCTGAAGCCTGTTCCGTTTTGTTTAAACCCACAAAGGATGAGAAGAGGAGCCACTTGATCTTTATAAATTCCAAGGGAAAAAATACCAAGTGGTTTAGAATTCCTTGCTAATGGGGACTCTGCACTATCAGGATTTTATTCCACGTTGCTTACCAAAGGCAACTTTGCCGTCCTGGAAACTGACGAGACTCACTGACCTGACATTTTCCCTCAGAGTTATAGTAGTCAAACACCCTTCGCCTGTGGAGATTTGGGGGTGGGGGTTGCAGGTGGTGGCCCTAGTGATCACTGATGTGGGGTGGGGCTTTGAGATTTGCTGTTGAATGCCGACAGACAGGTGTTTTCACTCTCTCTTTCGTCGTGCTTAACGTCTTAATGTCAGCATCCAGTTTGGGAAAATCAAATTTACTTTAAATATCTCTCTCCCAGCTGCCACCATGCTTGACTCATGGGTTCTCATTGCCTTGATCCCGTTCTGGGGTTGTTTTACCTGGTAACACAATTGTCAAATGAACATTGTTTCCTGTTTTTAAAAAATGGTGCGTGTGTGTGTGTGTGTGTGTGTGTAGCTCACTGTGTAACCAAGTATAAATTAATTTTATCCTCTGTCAGCCTGCTGTCCTATCCTTAAAATTCATTACAGTTGTGAATCAAATACACATTTGATACATTTACAATAGCCAGACTAGTGCCAGCACCGAGGGATATTGTTATAGGATCTGGAATATGCAGAAAAGTAAATACGGAAAACTCCTTTAAGCCGCCTGGACTCTTACTACCGAGATAACTAGTGATGCACGTTAGCGCAGCCCCTTTCCCCGCACAGAGGTAGTAAATACACCGCTGTAAGGCCTTCGTTTTCCTGTGAACATGTTCTCATGTAAGTTTTTCTTCCTAACATCTAGCAGCTGCATGATGCCTCACTGCATAAGTGTCCAGCAACTGAGGTAGCCTTTCTCTAGACAGACCTTCAATATTAGAAATGAAACTTTCTCAAAGGTTCATCTGTGGGGTGAGAGAGAGACTCAGCCATTAAAAGCACTTGCTGCCCTCCCTCCCTCCCTCCCTCCCTTCCTCCCTCCCTCCCTCCCTCCCTCTCTCTCTGTTGTTTTATTTGTATGAGTGCTTGCCCTGTGTGTCCTCGTTTACACCACGTGTGTACCTGATTGCTGAAGTCCGTAGAAGGGCCTCAGAGTCCCTGAACCTGGAGTTATAGGCAACAGTTGTGAGCCACCATGTGGGTGCTGGGACCTGAACTTCAGTCCTCGGCAGGAGCAGCCAAATACCCAGACACATAAAATAAATAAATCTCAAAGGAAATAAAGAGTAGATAAGTAGTTCCACATTTTAATTTTTTTCAGTTCATTTTTAGGATGTCGGTAAAAAAATTTTGAATTTAGACTATTCTTTGAGTTTTCTTTTATTTATGAGATCATTCCCGTCTCGTTTAAAAATATGCTTTGAACAGAAGCGCCTGCTGGAACATAAGGGCTAGCTGCCGTTCGAATCCATTTGAAGTGTCACTCGGCGTAAAGCAGGTCCTTGAAATACTGCACCAGGATCTAATATTTGCTGAGAGTTGGCTCCTTCTGTTCCTCTGACGAATCTCTAGCAAGAGTTGTGTATGTGAAGTTGCAGAATTGAAATGCCAGAGTGTAGCCCTAATAGCATGTGCTACAGAAACTCTTGAGACCCGCAGCCTGATGGGAATTAGGAGAGTAAATCCCATTTTAAACACCGTCAGGGGGCACAACTGGGAGGGAATAATGCGGTGTGCTTTCAGTAATGAAGACTAGATCAGTATTTTAAAATGTGATAAATTATAGGGCCCTTTCTCGTGTCTCATAAATATTCCAACAAACACAACTGTTAAAGACAGATGTTGACTGACTCGCAGGGTAGTGTGTTTAAATGTGGTTATTCTGCAGGGTCAGGATGCTGTTGTCTAATGTCAGGAGAAACTTGTTAATAAAACCTAGAATTCAGTGTGCTATGCTAATGTACTGCCGAGTTCATTTACATTTTATGGAATAATTTTATTTGTTCTGCACTTGCTGGCTGGCAGAGAAAGTGAGCACTGTTTGGTGATATTTTGAAGCTGTAACATCCTCAGCATCTGATTTAGGGAATTCAACTGTGAATCTGGAAATAAGTGTTGGACGCTATTGTTAGCGGCTCTGTGGTCCAAACACAGCTTGCCCGCCACTCTCCAGTCCTTCTGGGACGCCAGTTGTCTTTGTCCAGCGAGTTTCCTTCCACAGTAAGGTGTGGAAACATGTAAGGGGAAAGCTGTGAAGGTTACAAGAAAATACAGTTTAGGGGGCTGGAGAGATGGCTCAGCGGTTAAGAGCATTGCCTGCTCTTCCAAAGGTCTTGAGTTCAATTCCCGGCAACCACATGGTGGCTCACAACCATCTGTAATGAGGTCTGGTGCCCTCTTCTGGCCTGCAGGCATACATGTAGAAAGAATATTGTATATATAATAAATAAATATTTTTAAAAAAAGAAAAGAAAAAGAAAATACAGTTTAAATGACAGTACTAAAACTATGAGAGCATTCCTGAAATACAGGCAGGAGGAAGTGCCTTCTGCGGTTGGGATGTGTCTTTCCCTGTCTCCTCATACTGATGTGTAGGTGTGTGTGCTATACATGGAAGAGATGTGTGTCTCTTGTGCTCAATAGCTTTGCTTTTAACCATATCAGCCCTTCATGGTTTCTTCCTGGCCAATACATAGCACCTGTTGTATATTTTTCCCAAGAATCTAGATCACCTTATTCTGTAAACGGAGAAGCTCTCTGACCTTGTATTGAGTCACAGGAAATATATATGCATGTGTGTTTTTATTTTAAAGTACACATATTTTGTTTTTCTTTTCAATTGACAGAAATTATATCCACTGTGGAGTGGTTAACCCTAACTGACTGACATTACCAGCGGGGTGCCAATGGTCCATGCCTTTGATCCCAGTGCTTAGGAGACAGAAGCAGGGAGATTTCCATCAGTTTAAGCCTGACCTTGTCTATAAAGCACATTTCAGACCAGCCAGGGCTACAGAGGAAGACCCTGTCTCAAAACGAAACAAAATAAATGAACAAAAATGACCTTTCAGTGATGACCACGTCATACACAACAGCCACGCTCACTTTTCAGAATATAACATAGCAGTATTAATTATGGTCACCCCTCTTTATGGAACTATTGAAACTTTCTTCTCCAATCTAATGAGAAGATATTCTTTAAAAAAACAATAACTCCCACTCTGTCCTCCACTACCCAGCCCGATAACCACCATGGATTCTAGTTCTAGAAAATCAGCTGCTTGCTTTTGTTTTCTTTTTTCCTCTATTTTATTTTTTTTCTTAAAAGTTATTAATGTATTTATTTTACCTCCTGGCTGCAGTCTCCCCCCACTCCTGCCCTCCCAACCCTTTTCCCCCATACCCCTTCTTTCTCACCCCACTCCACCCCCAATCCATTCTGCTTCTGTTTCTTTTTCGGAAAGGGGAAATCTCCCATGAGTATCAACAAAACATGTCATATCAAGTTGTAGTAAGACTAAGCACCTCCCATTTATTAAGACTGGGCAAGGTGACCAAGTATGAGTCCCAGAAGTCAGTAAAAGAGTCAGACAGGCCCTGTTCCCACGGTTAGGAGTCCCACAAGAGGACCAAGCTACACGGCTGTGACAGAGGGCCTTGGTCAGTTCCATGCAGGTGCCCCCGTTGTCAGTTCAGTCCCTGTGAGTTCCTATGAGCCCAGGTTAGTAGATTTTGTGAGTTTTCCTATGGTGTCCTTGACCCCTCTGGCTTCTACAATCTGGAAATCAAAATTCTTAATGTTACATATTTGAGATTGTGTTTCATATGAATTTTAGGATATTTTTCTATGGCTGTGATAAATATCTTTGGTACTTTGGGTAGGGGTTGCATTGAATACATAGATCACTGTGGACAGGGATTGCACTGAATCCATGGATCACTTTGGCTAATAATAATATTCCTCTAGTCTATGAATGTGAGGGATTTTTATTTAATTTTAGCCCATACCTTAAATATTTCACAATTAACAAGACTTAGACTATAAACTATGTGGACAGGTCTTTGCTTTATTCTTGGCCCAAACTAGATTGATCATCATTATCAGGGTCTTTGAAATTTCTTAGTGGCTGCAGATATAGGGTTTTTGGTATATTTGTTGGTTTTTGAGTCAGTTTCATGTAGCCTAGACTGACTTTGAACTCACAGTTATAGCCAGGGTGACCTTGTACTGGGTTTTCAAGTATGGACCACCAATCATATCCTAATTTTGGCCTTCAGCTCATAGTACTAACTCTGTAAACACGGAATCCATCGTCTTTTAAACGAGATAGAAAACTCAAAGAGGTCTGGGGTCTGACAGAGTGAAGATACGTCTTACTGCACTTGTGCAGTCTAAGACTCACAGCAGCAAGACGTGTGTCTGGCGGCTGGATCTGAAGTGCTCTGAGTTCTCTCTGTAGCCCCTGAAGGTTAAAGGAAAACCCAAGGTGAGAGGTATTAATGACGTTCTCTGTTTACCCACAGACTGCAGCCGAATACGTAAAATCAAGGCTCCCAGAGGCGCTGAAGCAGCATCTTCAGGATTATGAGAAAGACAAAGAAAACAGTGTTCTGTCTTACCAAAGCATTCTGGAGCAGCAGATCCTGTCCATAGACCGAGAAATGCTGGAAAAGTTGACGGTATCCTATGATGAAGCAGGTATGTGTGTTATTACATACACACACACGCACACCACGCCCCAGAACGCCCTTATTCTGAAGTAGGTGATTAAGGGCGAATTGGACTCGATGTTACCAGTTGTTGGTGATTTTCTTCTCCGCAGTTCCGGGCAATGGCTCTCACACATATCAAGTCCCTGTGAGCTTTTGCTTATGGGGTGTTGCTCCCCGTTTATCAGCTGCCATTGCTCTAATCCTGCAGTCACTTCGGTTTTGAATAACAGATGAAGACCTTTATATCCGGTAGCTGGTGGACAGCTCTGTTTGATTTGGGTAATTTCTTTTTAATATCAGAGATTGTGTTTTCCCAAGTGGTACATGTTTAACCCCTTGAAGCTTTAGCTGGATTCGGCCTTCTGTTTTCAACAACTGAAATGCTGTCTGTTCTCTGATCCCACAGCAGACATTTGGTTGACTGCAGACCCTTTGTCCCCTCCACTGGGACTTAGCAAAGCCATGGACAGACGCCCTTACCACACCGTTTTTATCTGTTATATAGTCCATGAGCTAAAGCCAGTTTTATTGATATTGAGTGCAATATTGTTTAGACTCGTTGGAACATTTAGTAAAATGAAATTTAAGGCTGGGGTGTAGCTCAGTTGGTAGAGTGTTTGCCCAGCATCCTAATTTGTTTCCCGTTGGTGTGATAAAATGCCGACCAGAAACAGCTTGGGAAGGAAAGGGTATATTTCATCTCACATTCTCAGGAAGGTCTAGGCAGAAACTCAAGGTAGGAACTGAAACAGAGACCATGGAAGAGTACTGCTTGCTGGCTTGCTTCCCATAACTTGCTCACCCTGCTTTCTTGTATAACCCAGGGCCTTGTCGGGGTGGCGCCACCCACAATGTGCTGAGCCCACCCCCCACGTCAACCATAAATTAAAAAAGTTTTTTTAAAAAGTTGCCACAAACATGCCACAGGCCAATCTGAAGGAGGCTGTTCCTTCCAGGTGACTCTAATTTGTGTCAGGCTAACAAACTACCCAGCATGCCTAGCATGCCCAAGACTTTGGTTTGATCCCAGCGCCACATAAACCCAGAGCCTTGTGCATCAGACGGGCCTGCGACGTGTTCAGACAAGCGCACGCTCTTAGCCTTGGCCTTTAGAGACAAATCCTTCAGTGCAGAGTTAATCAGGAAGCAGCAGGAATAAACACAGGCGCGAGAGTCCAAGGGTCCAAGTTTCCAGGCTTAGCGCTGTCCTGCTCTTTAGAACATTAATCTCTTAGAACCTCCGTTTTTCATTTCATAAAATCGAGCCAATCTTCCGTTGGGTTGTTTTAATAATAAGGGATATGGTATTTGATCATAAGGTCCTTAGAATTCATATGGCTGATTAATGCCACTTAATGCTGCGTAAGGCCAAATTTGGATCCTTCCAGTCTCTCAGACCATGTTATGGTGGTGTTAGGGCCTCTTTGCTCGGGAGACAAAGTTTTTCCGAGTGTGTTTGGAATCTGTGAGAAACTAAGCGACATCTATGTAAAGCAGAGCCCGAGCTCTGCTCGCCTTTGGTCACTGCTGTCTGTCTGTCTCTCTGAGCAGGTGGCGGGTCTGGTGAAGACTGGATGCGGGCAGATGAATAAGTGACAGTGTCCCCTTCTCCTCCATAGCTCATGCACTACTGGTTTAGCTAAAGGAAGACAAATAGGAAAAGATATTGCTACTCAGAAGAAGGCTATTGCATCGTAAAAGAAGGATCCAGAATAGAAGCTCACAGCATCCAGTATTGTGAGATAACCCTCCCACACCAGGATCCTTCATAGTTGGCCTCTTCCCATGCTGTCTTGGCTTCTGCTTCCTCACAGTTTAAACTCCACTGTCCCAGTGTGAGGGGTGGGTTGTTAGTTAGGAATACCCTGGTCTCTGGAGAGGTCAGTTTGTCCCAGTGTGTGTGTGGGGGGTTGTTAGTTAGGAATACCCTGGTCTCTGGAGAGGTCAGTTTGTCCCAGTGTGTGTGTGGGGGGGGTTGTTAGTTAGGAATACCCTGGTCTCTGGAGAGGTCAGTTTGTCCCAGTGTGAGGGGGGGTTGTTAGTTAGGAATACCCTGGTCTCTGGAGAGGTCAGTTTGTCCCAGTGTGAGGGGGGGTTGTTAGTTAGGAATACCCTGGTCTCTGGAGAGGTCAGTTTGTCCTTAGTGCTCACCCACTGCGGCGTCAACCTGAGTGGTTCAATGACAGTTATCACCATCTGTGGCTTCCAAATGTTTCAAATATAATTAATGGGGGGGGGGGAGTACTTCAACATTTGTCTACAGTATTGGCTCAGAATCTTTTCTCCTCCCCTGCTCCTGCCTTTTTTTAAAATAAACTTTTTTTCTCTTTTCCTTTAAATACAGTAAGTTTAAAACCTTGTTTACCCACAGTCCAGATATCCAATATCCAGCAACTTGACATTCATCAAAGATTGGGAAATAGGCAAGAACTATGTGTGCAAACCCAGACTTGGTAGGACGTACCTATAATCCCAGTTCTCCAGCAGTAGAGACAGGATCAGAGGCTCAGGGTTTTCCTCTGCAAGGAAATGAATTTGAGGCGAGCTATAAGAGACCTTGTCTCAAAACAGGGGAAAGATAAAACTGCATCCAGACCTCGCCACAGAACTTACAGACATGACAAACACATGTCTCCCGTCTCACCTGGACCCTACACGTTGTTGTTATTTGACGTCGCGCTGAAGCCATTTCCTATCATATAGAACAATGACAGTTTCAAGATGAAGGCATCGGCAGACTCAGGGTCATGAATTGTGTCATTGTAAGACAGCTGTTGGTTGCCTGTAAATTTCTGTGCCAGAAGGGACAAGCAAATCTTTCCGAAACCCCTGTTAGAAGGACACGCGCCTCACTCAAGAGGTCCCTGCCCACCTTTTGAGTGGTGTCACTGTGGGGACTTTAGAAACAAAAGATACAGATTCTGTGCCTAACTCTGCTGCCAACCAGATATGTGGCTTCAAGTAACTAAACATCCGTAAAGCCCGTTTTCCTGTAAATTGATAACATGAATATGGTCTCATGGACACCCTCTAGTTCTGAAATGATGCTTCTGGTCTCCTGAGGTGGAAAGTTTGGGTAGCTGTGCTTTCTGAAGGCCGCAGGTGGATGCAAACTTCGTGTTTGCTCTGTGGCCTTTCTCTCGCTGCCGGTATCATTTTTAACTGAGTAAAAGGAGACAATCCCACCGTTTTTTCCTGTATTTGCACATGAAGATGCAAATAATCGGTGCTGCACGGGGAGCGAGATTAACTGTACGCATCGAACAAAAGCAGCGTTTGCAGCTGCACACGTTGGTCCATGGCCACAACCTACCAATTAGAAAATAGGGACAGGAAGATCAGAAGGCCAGCCGGACTCATGCTAGAGACTCTGTCTCAAAAAAGATCCAAATCAGCCGTAGGAAAGCCACGGGATGTTTGGAAGAGAACGTTCTGAGCTGTCATTCGTGGGGTCTCATTAAGAATCTCATTGAGATTCTTTCATTGACAATTACCAATGCTAAACAAAGACGTGAAATATGCTTCCTTTCTGATCTAATACTGCCTTTGTTTACACTGAAGTATTTATTTTAACGTCTGGGGAGTTAGCACGGGGAGATCTCCGAGGAAGGAGCACAGTGACCTGATTGGTGAGAACCATTGAAACAGCACTCCACCCTCGAGGAAGCACCGCTGGGTGCTGTTCTTTACCACAGCGGGCAGGAGAGACGCTTTCTCCCTCCCTCGCTTCTGGAAGGGACCTCCCGTTCTGTTTTTAATTGTCTTGTGTGCTTGTGCGTGAATAAGTAAATAACCTATGGTTTTCTTTGCTAAGGATATAGTGGTTTGTCGTTCTCCGTGTGAGAGGGGTTGAGATGACGGTGGGCCATCTTTATTTGAGGGTGCTTGAGCCTGTGACTGCCTCATGGAGCTGAAGCCTGGCAACAGGAGCAGAGAGGCCTGCTTCTCCTTCAGGCCTGCAGGATGCCCGGTGGTAGCATCTTGCTCCTCTTTGCCTCGAGACAGCAGTTTCCTGGACTGCAGCTTAGCTCTCCACTCCTGAGCTCTCTTCCCAGACCAGCAAGGGTCTTTATTTCTAATCTGACAGGTTGAGTGTGGGAATTGGCCACACAGGAGGAACACTTGGGAGAGGAGAGAGTTCCACTGGCTGCAGGTTGTATGAACCTGAGCCCTCAGGTCAAGCAGGCCCCACAGATCCCCTTAGAGGCACCAGGCAGTCACACAGCTTCCCCAGAAGACGTGAGGACCACGGGAAGAAGCTGCAGGTTTTTGGTTTTGGCCTTGTGACTGACTCTTGATGGAGGTTTACATTAGAAATGCTGGAGAGCACCCCAGTGAGACAGGAGAAGACGCTCCAGACACGGTGTGCTCTCTGGAGAAATGGCTTTTAAAAGAAGAAGAGAAATGTGCTGTTAGCAATTTAGGAAGTAGCTGAAGGGTTCCCCCCTACCGAGATTACTTTATTCCCCTTTGAAATGGATGATACCTGAGAGTTACATCTGTGTTTTAATTGAGCCTTTAGTGTCAGCGTAATCAGCGGTCTAAAAGCCGTTTTCTGTCGTGTTGACTGTCACGCGCACACACCCAGTCACCCAGACCCTGAAGGAGACAGGGAATTATTTAGGGCCCTTCCAGGTTTTCTAAGAGCATCTTAGAAAGCGCAGTAACAGCCCTTTGCAGGAAGTTCTTCGCTCTGACAGAGGACTGAGTGTCTCTGCTGTATCTCAAACAGGCCCTGAGGGAGGGAAACACTGAGGCTTCTTCACTTTTATCTTCAGTCAAGTCTGTCTTGTCTCAGGAACTCCTGACAGGAACTGGAGAACGTGGAAGGGAGAGAAAAGCCGGAAGGGACTTTTAAAGGGACTCACGGTCCTGACTATGCAGTGTTACCAGCTTCTGGTTCTCTGCCCAACTGTTAAAATCTGACTTATTTTTCTATTATAAGGGTAATAGAAATACATTTGGGGACATTCTCAAAGTAGGGAA